TTTTTTTTGGAAATTAGCAACAATAATAAACTGGCGCTAAACGAAATTCAAAGAAAGTGCGTGGCTAAGATTGTGTGGGTCTCAGTGTATGTATGTATATATGTGTATATACATACATACATATATGTGCGTGTGTTTTTGGTTCCATCTGTGACTCTCCCCACATTGGCTGCGTGTCTTGCTGTGTGCGAATCTGAAACGCAAAGAAAACCCTCGCTTCGCCAGAACTTTTAATTGTGTGTGTGTGTTTTTTTTGTTTTGTTTGGTTTCTTCGTTTTACGTTTTTTGCGCTTTAAGCTTTACCTTTTCTTGTTTTTATAAGCTCTTCAGTTGCTCAATGATGATGATGTTGTTTTCAAATTCACTTTCTACTTCAGGCGCTCCTCTGCATTTAACTGCACTTTTCAAAACTTCAAAAAAATGATAACAATAACAAACGTGCGTAGAAAGCTCCAATGCAAATAGAGATCTATGAGTACATATAATATATACATTTGTACATTCATACGAGTTGCTTACGAATGACTTTGAAAGCAAAAGACCGAGAGCAACTGGCGCCGTGGCTTGCATGTACACACATATCTATCTGTGCATGTGTGTATCTGTGTATGTATGCATGCGTCATTCAGCACAGAACTACTGGCAAACATACAGATATACATGTATGTATTCATACCTATGTATGTATGTATGTACTTGCATAGCGCACATACACTTACACACACACACACACACACACATTACGTACGTGCATACATATATTTTGCATCTGTTGCGATAACAAGCTTGAAACTAGAGATGGCCACGTGACAGCATACACATGAGATCACGCACGACCAATATCAATATTGATGGGGCAAGCAGAAGACGAGCTTGATCGACTTCAAAATACTCCACATCTTTTTCTGTTGTTTGAAATTTTCATTGGGGAAAGTTGGTAAAAACATAAACTTGACTTGCTCCCTATTTATGTATTTCTTAACTAAATATGGTTTTAGTCAATTAGAAAAAAAAAACCTTTTGTTATTTAGTTCTCATTGAAATCTAGACAAACAGCAAATAAATGTATTACTATACGCATACAAATATACGTGTCCATGTATAGATAAGGATATCTTTATAAACGTGGACTTTCCCGTAAATAGAAAGAAGCAAAGCTAAAGCTTTTGTGTTTATCGATAATCAAAGGTGAATTTCAGTTTCTTCCTTCGGCCCCACCTACGAAACACTTGAATCTGAGATAAATCGGTTTATCTGTGAATCATCGTCACTCGTATATGGGCCTTTATGCAATGCGCATATACATTGCAAACATATACATACATATACGTATGTATGTATGTAAGTTTGTATCATAATTGGGGTATTTACAGAAGCCGCTACGTACATAATTTTATATTGTTGTGCTTTGAGTACTTCAACGTATTAAGTTTCAACGTATCGAGTGACCATATAGCGACGATCTACAGTATTTTTTGTTTATACACATACATATGTAGATAAATAATATACATACATTTGTATACATACATACATAGGGACATGTGTCTTTAGTTATCTCTTTCTTAGTTTTTGTTAATTTAGTTATCAGTGTGGATTTTTAATTATCAATTAACGACACTGCTAAATAATGTATGTCTTATTATCTTAATAGTTGATCGTCATATTGAAATGATTTCGATTTAAAAATAAATTTTTTTTTTTTGTTTTTTTTTTTTTTTGCCTTTTGACTTTTGGTTCTCAGACGTTGTGGAAAAAGGTTCCGGTTTAAGTGCTTCGGATAGGTAAAGTTTGACTGGGTTCGTAAAGCCAACAGCCAGCCCCTTCCGTTTCTACCTTCCCCTTGCTGAGGTACGAGCTGTGCTCGCAAGGTTTCTTTCACACGATGCTCTCACCCGAAAAAAAACACACACACAGAAGAAGAAAGAATGAAAGATGGAAAGAAAGCCTGTCGACTGACGACAATGGGCCATAAAGTATTTGGAAATCTGATGAGGCGTCTAAGGTACGACCCTTGCCCATGGGGTTGCTGTTGTTGTTGGTTCTTTTCGCATACGGGGTCGATTACTGGTTACAAAAATACTTCTTGATAAGGCAGTCGCCGCCGCGTCATCGAGCAGAACTTCGCCTATATGTATAAGTCACGTTTACCAACGGTGACCGCAGCTTGGTTCCATTGTATGAGGTTTTCTGGGGGTGTAAGTGTGTGTGTGGGCGGTGGTGGTCATAATCGTGGTCTTCTTTCTTATTCTTGGTAACTTGGGCAATTACTGCGAATTGTATTCTATTTAAAGCGCTCTGCATTTGAATATTTAATAGAACTTTTCCATGCGCAAGTTTGTCAACCTTTATCACGCACGCACGCACGTCCATCCTCTCTCTCTCTCTCTCTCTCTCTCTCTCTCTCTCTCTCTCTCTCTCTCTCTTTCTCTCATACACACACTTAAGGCATTACAACTGAGAGCACTCTCTTACGCTCTTTGCAGTTTGCAAGATGAAAATGTCATACTGTCGCGCACCCTGTCAAAACCAAAACACAACTGGGTGCATGTGTGTGTATGTATGTGACGTTGTGCATATCTATGCACACACATATATGCATGCATGATATAGCGGCAAAGCTTTGCTCCTGCCAACCCTCAGGCCACCATCAAATTGTGTTTAATGTCAAGGCAAAAGAAAGAGGAAGGAGAGAAAGAGAGAGAGAGAGAGAGAGAGAGCGCAAAAACTCTGGCGACTAGAAACAACAATAATGCCGCCCACGCTGTACAGCAAATAAAGCTCCTGTGAGCTAAAAAGCTTGCGTCGCCTGTAAAAATAACATCTGTCTGTAACTCCCTAGTTCCCGCTCTCTCTCTTTTGCTCTCTCTGTCATTCTCTTCGGGTAGCTTTGTAGTCGGCTGCCGGCTGCAATATCCTTCAGTTGCTTGCCAGGTGTTGACTGTCGAATGGATCGACCCTTGACCTTTTTATGAATTATGAACAGGGGGCTACTTATGACAAAAACACAATGCAGCATTAGTTGTCAATGGTCTCACACATACACACACTCATACAAATATCAATGTACGTGCACATTATAAAAGCAGCAGCAGCTGACGTCGRCATCGACATCGAATTCGCGCACGCTCGATGTAATTTTCATTTCTTGTGTCGGCGTCGGTGTCAACGTCAGCGTCGGCGTCAGCGTCGACGTCAGCGTCATGGCTCTGCAACTTGTTGTGGCATTCGCTCTTTGTTTTGTAGTTTGTGTTTGCGCCTGTATTTGTGTTATGTGAATATACATATGTGTGTGTTACGGTCGCCACGCATTTGTGCGCAATTAGCGCAAACACAACAGCTGTCCCTGATCGCAGCGTTGCGACGCGGCGTTCTCTTAAGTTGCTTGCAAACGCAGGCGACAAAATTGTCGTTATCACTATGTTCGTTTGTTGTTGATTCCATATAACTTTTTAATTTTTCTATCTTTTCAAATACGTTTATATATGCAGTGAATTATACAAACAAAATGAACACATTTCTATTGGATGTGCTCGTTAGAAGCTAATTTAATATTGTGAATCTACAATGCAACTCGCTTAAATCATAAATAATAAATGAACTCTGACCGAGTTTATTTATTTATTTATTTATTTTTTTTTTTTTTTTTTCAACACTACACAAATTATTTACTTTTCTATTTCCCATACGAAATGTAAAGCTGCTATATAGTATAAATGATACATTCATATAGATAATATACATTTATTCTTCGGTTTATTATATACTATTATTTATGTCATAGAAAAGCTGCCTTTATATAATGTACAACAAGGGTTAATCCGACCCTGTACATATGTATATGTACATGTATATGTTTTCAATGATGTTAGTTTTGTTGGTTGGCGAACTTACAAATTACTGAATTGTACTCTCTCGCTCTCTGTCAGTCATGCCAACTGTGATCCTAATATATGTTTTACTCTCATTGCAGCACACATATTTACATACATAAAAACATAAACAATTTAAATCAAAAACAACGGTGCCTATTGCCAGTGCAATAATCAACCACCAACCAGCAGCAACAACAACAACAATAACTAAAGTGCATCCCACACCAAAAGCAAGCAACAATAACAATAAGAAGAAGAAGCAGCATAAGTCGAAAAGAAGCAACAACAAACCTACCAAAAATTCAACTGTAAACGTGTCGACCCAAATCTAAAAGACTCCCTCTCTCTCTCGTTCGGTTGGCCGTCTGTTCTCTCTCTTCGTGTGCGTTGTTTGTGTGAATGCGAGTACGTGTGTGTGCGTGCGTGTGTGTGTGTGCGTGTGTGTGAGTGTGTGTGTGTTTGCGTGAGTGAGTGTATCTGCAAGTGTGTCTGTGCGTGCGTGAGAGTGTGTGTGTGTGTGTGTGTGTGTGTGTGTGTGTTGTGTGCTTGTGAGAGAGTGGGCGGCTGTGTGAGACGCGGCTATGTCATCGGGCGCCATAAAAACGCTACTGGATGCTGCTCATTTCATTGAGCAGCAGGAAAAGGAAGAGCTGGCGGTCAGCGGAGGCGGTCTTCTCAATAGTATTGGTGAGCAGCATTTCATCGACAGCAATGTCTTCGGCAGCGAAAGCATGGTCCATAACAACAACAACAGTGCAAGCCAACACAACAGAAACAACACGCCAACAGCAGCGGTAGCAGCGCTAACAGGAATAACAACACCCGCCATCGTAAACAGCCATAATGGCCTGACTAACGGTATCGCTGCGGTGGAGTATGAGTACGACGTTAACGTTGGTAGCGCCGCCACCACAGTGGTTGTTGCTGGCAGCCCTAGGCAATTGGAGGCGTCGCCAGCGACGATAACGGGACGCAGCAGCGAAAGTCACATCATTTCGGGTGAGTGTCCAACATTTAGAATTAAGCTATCTTCAATATCATGATATGCATCATCATCGTCATCATCGTCATTATTCACTTTACAATATTATGTGCATTCCCTTTTTGTCTTCGATTCGGTCGCTCTCTTCTCTCTCTCTATTTCTCTCAGTGCTGTTGCATTTAAACTTACTTTGACCTTGTTAGCAACGCAGCAGCAACAAAAGGAAAAATAATAAAAATAATAACATTGCCATCAAACGAATAACATTTGTGCATTTGTGTGGGCGCGCAATGTACAGCCAAAAACAAACAACAAAATATGAGCTCGCGGGCACGATCGCAATTTCTCTCTCTCTCCGTCTCTCATACTCTGCTTTCTTGTTGTCAGAGTGCATGTGCGGCAGCAGCAGTAGCAGGTACTGTTATATTTTTAGCGCTTTTGTTGCTTTCTGTTTGCTCAGCTCAAGCCAGCCAAATATGCATGTGCTAAATTTGCTGCCTACTTAGCTTTAGTGCTGCTGCTGGTGTTGTTGTTGTTGCTCTCATTTCCTTAGCTAATGCTGTGGTGGGGAGGGAAGCCAAGCAGCAATATTGTTTTTATTCTTACACTTTAGCTGTTGCTGTACTCATTTGGCTGCTTTATACAAAACAATTTATACACACACATACATAACATTTGTATTTATACAAACACATACATACGTTTGTGTTATTACCATTTTGTCTTTGGCTTTTTGCACGTACGCTCGTACTTGTTGCTGTTGTTGTTTGGGGTCACGTCATGTTGGTACTCAGTCCCTCGTGCGCTCGTTTGTTTGTGCGCTCTCTTTGTCGCCAGCCAAGCGCAACCATAAAAAACAGACAGGCAAATTAGTCATAGCATTCATAGTATATAGAGAGAGGGAGAGATGCGAGAGAATGAACACACGCATACAAACAAACAAACGGCAATACTTATGTGAGCGCAGCCCCACGTGAGCGTCACACCGAGAGCGGATGAAAGAGAGAGAGAGAGAGAGAGAGGAGAGCGTATTCTTTAGTTAGCTTCTCTTTACTTTTGTATTTTTTCTTTGCAAATACAATATTCAAGCTGAGAGACGCTCTCGTCACTCTCTTCGCATCTCTTACACTCTCTTTTTCTTTTGCACGCCGCAGCTGTGTTCAGCAAAGTCAATGAACTTTGTACGCATTTTTTTTGTTTTGTTGCTTTTTGGACAGAGCTCGTTCATATTTTTATTAGCGTCTGCCTTTCTTTTTATGTTATGCTATGTTTTATATTTATTTTCTTTACACTTACAATTTGTTATTGCATTTGTTGCATACCCGTTATTTGGTGCTTGTAATATTTGGACAGCTGTCTTAGCTGTGCTGCTGCTACTACCGCTGTTGCCGCTTCTGTTGTTTTTGAGCTTGTGTGCGCGCATGCATGTATGGGTTTGTGTTGGTTGTCAGTCAGCCTGCGCTCAGCTGAGCTCCGCAGAAACAAAAACAATAAATGGGCAGCAGGCATCTGCAAATGTTATGCAACACAAAGCTTGCATACATGTACAAGTGTGTGTGTGTGTGTGTGTGTGTGTGTGTCTTTCTGTGTGTATGCGAGTCTTCCTGTGTGTGTATGTGAGTGAGCAAATGAAAGAGCGTACAATTGAGTTTTTGAGTAGGTGAATTATGAATCTGCCTTTGCTTCAGCTGACATTAGTTTCTAGACTTGCGCTTCAATTAATCAAATTCAATAATAAACGGAATTAAATAAATTTAGGTAAATGCTTATCATGTTTCTATAATATACAAATTTAATTTTATATATACATACATACTAAGAGCTTAAACATTTGCGTATGAAAATACACAATTATACAGTTACTTTTGCCACTTAAACATACACATGGATTTGTGTGCAATCAACGGGATTGTTGCTTTTGCTTGCGCCTCGACTGTGCTAAGTGCAGTTTTTTACTCTCTATCTCTCTCTTCTCTCTCTCTCTCTCTCTCTCTATATATATATATATATAAGTGTTTGTGTGCAAAGAGCTATTACTATCCATTCTCCATATGCGCTAATCGCTCTGTCAATCTCTCGCCCCCTTTTTACACTCTTCGCCTAAAAGCACGCAATGAAACGGTACAGCTCTGCGCTACAGCTTAGAGATAGATGCAGCGTTGCTGCTGCCGTTATTGTTGTTGTTGTTGTTGTTGTAACTGTAATATGCTAACGTATGCGTGCAGTCCATGTGTTTGTTGTTGTCAATTTGCATTATTATGTATTTCGTTGTTGGTTTTGCCAGCGGCGCGAGTATTTCAAAACACATTCGCCATTTAGTCGCGTGCTAAGGCTGCCGGACGCTGGGCTCCACGCATTCCAAGACCCGTTCCATGACGAACATGTCGCAGTCACAGAACGAAACGCAACAACAAACAAGCACAGATTGCACGACAGAGCAGCGCGAATTACTAACAGAGTTGCTGAGCCGCCTCAGCGCACTTCAAGCTTTATTGTTGGCGCATCAGTCGCAATCGCAATCGCAACCGCAGTCGCAAACGCAATCGCAGTTGAAAACGCAAACACAAAAAACGCAGTCAACGCCAGCGACGCTAGCGGCGCCGCCCAAAAAGAAATGGATATATCGTCACTATCGTCTTGGTATGTGTGTGTGTGTGTGTAAGTGTTTGTACATGTGTGTAATATACCACGTGATAAAAGCGCACGTGGCGATCGAATGAGAGTGCGCGTGAGAAAGAGAGAGAGGGAATGCGATGAAGAGAGCTTGCGTTTGTGTGCGTGTCTAAAATGTGCAGCTTCGAAAGTTTTTTTGTTGTTGTATGTTTGCTTATATTCTTTCTGTTTTCTTTTATGTATAGAGAGATCATAATGTGGGTGGACCTGTTTAGTTATGTTTTGCTGGTTCATTTATTTACATAAATTATACATTTACAGATACATGTGCATATGCGTACGTGTATATRTGCATGTATGTATGTATGCATGTATATTTAAATATCAATATGTGTAAATATCAATGTATGTGAAATGCTAATGTTATTTCTTTATACATATTAAAATGGCTAGAATCGATTTCATTTGTAGAGAAAAGGGGAAATAGAGGGTCTTTGTTAGATTTGCGTCAGTTTATATATACATACATATATATGTAAATCTATATTTAGTATATATGTATCTACTTTGATATGTATCTATGCGAAATGCATAGGATATGAGACATTTCTGTTCAAAGATTTTTGTAAAATTTCACTATAGTTCATTGTTTATTGTGTAATATTGTAAATTACATATTACAATAATAACTAATATTATAAAATCTTTTATATGTACATATGTATGTATGCACTTTTACTGGCATATGTATATATATACACATAGATACCCATAGATATTTGATATTTATATTAAAATTTCGACTTCTGCTTTGCAAATTCTCCATAAATCATAGAATCATAAGAGCTCTTCAATTTACTGTGATATATGTATTTGATAGATGCAAGAAACATACACATGTCTATAGGGTGTTGGGTATGTGTTTTCTATGGGCTAGTTTGCTTCAATAATTAAACACGCACACGCACACGCACCTGTCGCAGCACGTGAATCGCATGGCATATTGATTGGCCATTATTTGTTTATTAGCTGGGAAAACATTTGATTGCTCAAATAATTGCATAATTTACATAATTGCATACACTATAACAACAATATAACGGGTATGGCATATCATATATAATTGAAATAATGAGCCTTGATTTGAATTTGATTCGATTTGATTTATTTTGTGATTTTTCTTTTAATTTGATATGAATTTACTAGATACAGTCTTATATTGATCGATCTGTGGGCAGGTCAGAATAGATCATCTAAATTCATTCTGCATAAATAGACGAATGTATGTATGCATATGTAGATACATGCATACACACACGCATACATTCATACACATCTATATCTTATATACATACTATATGTATACATACACTGAGACATATGTATGTACATTATGGATACATACATATAAGAAATTATACACATATATTTTTTGTGGGGCAATTGTCAATGTTATTGTCGCTGTTGTTATTGTTGTTGTTGYTGCTCATTTATTTTTGTGTGTGTATTGTTTTTTTTTAAGTTGATTCAAATGTCATTCACTCATTGATATATGTTCGTTTTTAAGACCAGATGAAATACTGAATATCACGGAAGTTCTTTAATGATATATACAGTTAAAGAACTTCCATGATATTGAGGATTTCGTAGGTATAAGTGTAAGACAGTTAAGGATTTGAGCTCTAGTTCAATGAACAAGTTCCGTAGCTCAATTGTCATTCCGCAATTCAGTACTTGATGAACAACAGTTGTATTATTAGAGCTATTATTGCTCATTCGAACTGAGTTCATGAACCTAAGTGAACTAGTGAACCAATGAATGCAACTTTAATAGTTCTAGTTATTTGATTGATATCAAGTTCAATTGAGCTGATTAGGAATTGTGTAGTCAGATAATATATAGAAAGTTATAGACACTCCATATATACTATATAACCAATGAGGATTCAAGTTCTTTTCAATGAATAAGTTCTGTAGTTTCATTCTCATTCATTCTACTGAGTTCATGAATCTAAGTGAACTAGTGAACGAACGAATACATGTATTATCACAGACCAAGTCCATGTAATTTGAAAAATATCAAGTTCAATTGAGCTGATTGTGACAGATATAGTCAGAAAGAAAGATATAGTAATATATAGAAAGTTGTAGGACACTCAATATCTGCTATATAGTCAATGCAGCTTCTAGTTCTGTTCAATGAATAAGTTATGTAGCTCAATTTTCATTCAGTCTGCAGCATTTCGTTCATTAGAACTGAGTTCGTGAACCTAAAGGAACTAGTAAAGGAATGTAAGATAAATGTAATCACAGTTTAGGTTCAACAGTTTCAATAATGTGAAAGATGTAGTCAGATAGATGATATATGTATATCTACTACTACTATCAATATCTACTATACTACAGATATGATGTACATAAATCCCGTTATCATCGTTCCATGCCAACTAACTCTGGAACAGCTCTTCAATTATTTGAACTGCATTTCCACTTCCATTGTCATTTCTATTTTCATTTGATGTGAGATATTTTCCCTTAAATGTCATGCTTTCGGCACACACACACACACACATGCACATGCACACATGCACATGCATATATCATAGAAATTTGTTTTCTCACCTGCGCTTGCATAAATTGTTATAATTTGAGTTCTCGTTTTGTTGTTGTTGCTTTTTCCTGTATTCATTTATTTATGTTTTTTGATTTCTTTTCATTTATTTGTTATAGAGGATGAAAATTCCTCCTCCAAAACCAACTCCTACCCCCAACAACAACAAGTAGCAACAGGCAGAGCAGCAGCAGCAGCAGCAGCCGCAGCCGCCGCCGCAGCAGCAGCGACAACAACAACAACTGCAACAAAATCAACCAACTCTGGCCGGTTCGATGGGTCCACGTTTGTGGTGCTGGCATCGGGCTCATCGCCGCTGCAGGTCCAGGTGCCGGCTGTGGTTAGCAGTCCTCGGACCACGCCCCCGCTGAAGCACAAGCTCTCAGCGGTCGCTGGCTCCCAGTTACCGTGCAAGTATTTGGTGTTGGCTGACGCCAAGGGCGCCAGCTCAACGCAAACGCCAATAGCCGGCGCTGGAACTGCAAACGGAACTGGAACCGGAACCGGAACCGGAACTGGTACCGCAGCCGCAGCCGCAGCTGGAGGAGCAACAGCAGTTGGAACAGTTGGCTCTGCAGCCAGCTTAACCTTGGCCAATTTCCAGCCGCTGACATGCCAGACGCCCAAATCGCAAATAACGCTTACCCCGCCCCCGACGGCCACACGCCGATTGATTGAGCCGCAGGCCCGAAACCGCTCCTACTCAATGCCCTCCCATAAAATTTCAGCGCAACCCCACGGGCTGGAGGATGCGTCCCACAGCTATCTGCTCGCCGGCAGGGCCTCGACCGGCACAGCCACTTCGTACCGCAGCATCTTCAACACGCAGCAGCAGCCGCACCACCACCACCACCACAGCCAGCATCAGGCCGCATCCACATCCGTCTCCAGCTCGGCGCCAGTGGCGGGATCTCAGCTGGCCGGACACGGCGGCCGCAGACGCACCATCAGTTCCAACAGCAACGGGTGAGTCCTCTCCCTAATGATAAAATAGATGCAGTATATTCCTTTTAGTATATTTCAGTATATTTCTGTTAGTATGTATATACATAGTATATTTCTATTTTATATACAGTAAAGTATATATACAGTATAGTGTAATGTATATAGACAGTATGTAGATGAAGTATATTCCTTTTAGTATGTATTCATGAGGACAGTATATTTCTGTTAGTATGTATAGACAGTAAAGTATATAGACAGTATATTCCTGTTAGTATGTAGATACAGTATAGTGTATATGTATATAGACAGTATGTAGGTGCAGTATATTCCTTTTAGTATGTATTCATGAGGACAGTATATTTCTGTTAGTATGTATATACAGAGTATATTTCTATTTTATATAGAGTAAAGTATATATACAGTATAGTGTATATGTATATAGACAGTATGTAAATGCAGTATATTCCTTTTAGTATATGTGTATATGAGCAGTATTTTTCTGTTAGTATGTATAGACAGAGTACATATATTTATTTCTGTTTCATATAAAGTGAGGTATATAGACAGTATATTTGTGTTAGTTTGTGTATATACAGTAGACAGTATATAGATACAATGTATTTCTGTTAGTATGTATAGTTAGGGTATATTTACTTCTAAAGTATATAGACAGTATATACTACTTAGTATATACATATGTACATAGACAGTATTTTTCTATATACAGTATATTCCTTTTTATTCGATATACAGTATAGTGTATATGTATATAGACGGTATTTAGATGCAGAATGTATATTCCCTTTAGTATATACAGAATTCTTAGTATGGACGCAGTATTTTCGTATAGTATATATAATATACGTCATATATGCGCAGTATATGTATAAAAAGTTTATTTCTTTTAGTATATTCATATGTACATAGATAGTATATTCTTGTTAGTATGCACAGATACAGTATAATGCTTTATATTCCATATACAGTGAAGTATATAGACAGTATATTCAAGTTAGTATTCCTTTTAGTATATATATATATACATAGAAAGTATGTAGATGCAGTATATTTCTTTTAGTATATATACAGGTTTTAGTATAGACACATTATATTAGTGTTAGTATATATGATATACCTGATATACATGTATGTGTATACTTGATATTCCCTATAGTACATAGGCAGTATACTCCTGTTAGTATGTATGTGTCTAGTATATTCCTTCGTATTCCATATACAGTATAGTATTTTGATATATAGACAGCATATTACTGTTAGTATATATACAGTGTATTCCTGTTCGTATATTTCATTTAGTATATATACAATATATTTCATTTATACGTACATATATGTAGTAATTCATATTAGTATATAAATACGTAATATTCCTTTTAGTTAATATATTTTAGTGTAGCCATTCATAACACATTCGTGTTAGTACACATTACATATAAAGTATGATTTATTATATATAAGGTATATTTGATGTGGATTGGCTCTTTAGGGTCTCCTTAATCTCTTTATATAGCCTGATATTATATACATATACTATATCTATATCAAACGTAGCCGTGAAGCATTTCCTCAATCGAGCAATCAATAAGTTTTGCGATACCAATTTATAACAGAAATTTCCTGTGGCTTTCTAGTTATAGAGAGCCTAGTGCTTAGGCCTTATTTCATTTGTATTGACAACTAATTCTGCTCTTAGGGCGGGCACGCGCGAGGTGCACAACAAGCTGGAAAAGAATCGGCGCGCCCACCTGAAGGGCTGCTACGAGGTGCTGAAGAACGAGCTGCAGCTCAAGGATGAGGATCGCAAGAAGACATCCAATTTGGCAATACTCGATAAGGCGCACCAAACTGTCATGGTATGTGCCAGTCCCACTACCCCTCCCCCCCTCTGTCTATCTCTGTCTCATTTTAATCGAGTTAATTTCTTCTTCTTCTGTGCAGGAACTGGCAAAGGCCCATCGGGAGCAGGAGGTGGAGATTGAGAATTTGTCCAAACAGAAGATTGAGCTGCAGAAGCGCCTGAGCAGCCTAAAACGCCCCGCGGATCAGAGCATTCCACTCAGCGACAAAGGTTGGTTCATTGGCATTGTTCATTGGAAGCAGTTGGATATATACCTAAATATATATGCATATATATACTTTTATATATATATATGTATATGCAGATACAGTGTATCAATAATATCTTCGTACAGCGACAGGATTTGAAAACCCTCAACTACCGTAAAGTCTTTCAAGAATTTTGGAAGCCATCTAGAGGCGGGCTAAAACTTATTTATACAGATCACATTCGATAACCAACTGGACTTGAAAATAGTTGAATAATAGATGCTTAGAACTGTAAAACCCATTTTTGCCCATTTTTGAAGTACGCAAATTGAGCCATAGAATTTCTGGGCAGAAATTGAGCAATTTAAGCTCTAGAGTTCTCAGGATCTACATCTAAATCATAAATCAAAGAAATCGACTAAGCTCTTCAAATATAAATGACGACTTGAGTAACCAGATAATGCTCGCCTAGGATGCTCGTGTGAGTTTCGTATGAGCTTCTACAGTCAGTGGTATAGCATCTGGCATAGACTAAATGAGCAATTTTATGATCTTTGATATTTCATTGGCTCTGGGCCAAGTAAAAATTATTTCCAGTAATCTTACAATGTAATAGTAAATTATAATTACACATTAAAATGTAATACAGTTACACATTATATTACAATGTATTTCATAGAACTCTGATCTAAATCGGATCATATTGGGTTAATCTAGGTTATGCAGAAAGATAAGAGTATACCAAAAGAAGGAAAAGTTGTGGATGTACGAAGACAATGTTGATAGACTGTATAATATGTATTATATATAGAAATATGCATATATATACAGAGATATATCTGTATAATTTTGCATTTGTATGACAACACAGCGCAGCTTGTGCAACGACTGCGACTGCGACTGCGACTGCGACTGCGACAGCGACAGCGACTGCAAATGCGAGTGTGCGAAACGAAACACTTGAGACTGGACAATTTGTTGACAATTTGCATTAGCGCTCTGCGAAAAGTAGCTCAAGTTTTGCATATCATTTGCCATTTGCAGCACCTCTGCAGTTGGTCCGCTGCTGCCCGTCCCGCTCGACCTTCAGCTTATGCAATACAGATCGTGCGATTCGCATGGATCGATCGATTGATCTTCAGCTGCAGTTTGTGTATTTGAAATATTTGTTTATATCCTAAACGTTTTTCAAAAATTTGGCTAAAATCTCACTATCCCTCTCTCTCTCTCTCTCTTGCAGATGCCAATGAAGCCGTTTGCCTGGCAACCACCAGCAGCAGCACCAATGCCAACGTCAGCACCAACACCACGTCATCAGCATCACCATCATCGTCGTCATCATCATCATTATCATCATCATCAGCATCATCATCAATATCAACATCATCAGCGTCGATATCTCCATTGTCAGTGGCCGGCGCAGCCCCGCCCATTCTATTTGATGGCATGGCGCCCGTCTCTGCCGCTGGTGTAAGTTGACAATGAAAAATAAAAAAAAAAATAAATAAAAAAAAAAATTAAATAAAAATAAAATAAATATTGCTGATGTTAATTCTAGTTCTTGTTCTAATTACTTTCCTGAGAAGTAGCTGCC